GGATCCACGATTCACATCTCGATTTTGGCCCAAGTTCTAAGCATCTCTGGGTACTAGACTGAAGTTTAGCACAGCTTTTCATCCACAGACGAATGGACAATCTGAACGGGTGATACAGATATTGGAGGACATGCTTAGGGCATGTGCTCTGGAGTTCCAAGGGAGTTGGGACAAACATTTGGCTCTAGTTGAGTTTGCCTATAACAATAGTTATCAGGCGAGTATCGGCATGCCTCCATACGAGGCATTGTATGGGAGGAAATGCAGAACACCGTTGTGTTGGGACGAGGTTGGCGAGGCCAAGCTCGAAGGGATTGAACTTGTTGAAATCACCAAGGCTAAGGTGAAAGTCATTCAAGATAGACTCAAGGCTGCTCAAGATCGGCAGAAGAGTTATGCCGACAAACGACGAAGGCCATTGGAGTTTGAGGTCGGTGATAAGGTCTTCCTAAGAATTTCTCCTTGGAAGGGTATCATCCGATTTATATCGAGGGGAAAGCTTAACCCCAGATACATTGGTCCATTTGAAATCCTTGAAAGGATAGGGGCTGTGGCATACCGTCTCAAGTTGACGCCGGAACTTGAGAAGATACACGACGTGTTTCATGTATCGATGCTCAAGAAATACGTGAGAGATCCATCTCATATTCTTGAGAAGCCACCGGTGGAGATACGTGAAGATCTACAATATGCGGTGGAACCGGTAAAGATTGTGGGTCAACAGGTGAAGAAACTAAGGAACAAGGAGATTCCGATGGTAAAGGTACTTTGGAGGAGTGATCGAGTTGAAGAAGAAACCTGGGAGACTGAGGTCTCAATGAGGGAACAATACCCGTTTCTTTTCGATTAGACACGCGGATTTCGGGGACGAAATCCCACTTAAGGGGGGGTGAACTTGTAACACCGTCCCCAAATGTATTTATTTTTAAGTGAATAATGTATTGAACCTTATGGAATGGTTAACGAGTATTCGAACTTGTGAATTTTATTAATGTTTTTGCGGGTATGGTAAATTCGCACGTGGGGCCCGCCCCGGGAACGGGGGCCGCCCGATTTTCCCGAGACCGTATATTTTATTCATCGTGGTCAATATAACATTTATATAGTGGTGGATAATTTATTTGGTCCAAAGAAATAATATAGAGTTGACCGGTTAATCAAAAAGGCCAAAATACCGGTATCGGTAATTTAACAGATAACAGCCCGAAACGAATTTCGGAGGCTTATAAATTAAAGTTGGGGAATGTATATTCATTGTAAGGGTCATGATGATTGGAAACACATAACATATTTTATTTGACCCGATAAAATAAAATATATCTAAAACAGTCCAAAAAATACAACTTTCGGAGCCGATTGTACACTTCTGGACAAAAAGGGTTGACCTCCCACATGGGTGGGGGCCAACCAACGAATTTGGCAGCCAAAGGGGGGCTGGTCTTTGTCACACTTGGGCTTGAGAGCTCTTGAGGGGATGGGAGGAACACCTTTGACATCCAAAGGGACCCCCTCACCCATTTTCTCCAAAAGAAACAAAAGAGAGCACATCTCCCTCTCCCCTCACCCATAATTTCGGCCAAAGAAGACCCAAGAGAGAAGGATAACGTCTGCAACCTTATCCTCCATAGCCAAGAACTGAGCTCAAGCTTAAGGAGTCCAAAGAAGGGGTTTTAAGAAGGGAAAAGTTGGGAGAAAGTGTGAAAGATTAAGGTAATAACATTATATTAACTTTTCCTTTATTTTTCTCCTACCATATGAAATATATATCATATGGAGAACCCTTGAGTTTGTTCTACATGCTAAGGGTGTGGGATAATGGGTTGGAGAGTGGTTCTATGTTCAAAAGCGGACTTAGAAGCCAAACCGACAAGTTCACCGGAAAATAACCTTTTAGAGGTTATTTGTATTGATTAAGGTTTCATGATGTTAAAACCTTGTTAGGAACTCGATTAAAGTATTTTTGAGCTTCGCCGGAGTTTCGCCGGAGTTGGTCAAAGTTCGCCGGAGTTGGTCAAAGTTCGCCGGATTTAGTCAAAGTTCAATTGGGGAGCGTAGAACGCGCGTGAGCTCACTTAAGGTGAGGATGACCGACTATATTGCTTATAATCTTTGGGTTAATTTCATAAGATTTCCTAAATGAATACACAATGTGATTTGCATGGATTATAAATGGTTAAATAATGCCTAAATGAAATTACTATTGATTATAAGTATAGTTTGCATAATACACAAATTTATTGAATAAATTGTGTGTGTTTATATGTTATGAATATGATGGCACGATAGTAGTATCAACCATAAAACCCATTTGTGATAAGTATGCTTTTATTTCATGAGAAGAAGCCATGAAAGAATAAAAGTGATATTTTGATATTAAGGTCAAACTACATATTGAATGAAGAATTACATTGAAATGAGTAAATAACTAGTATTGAAATATTAGTTGGAGTTGTAGTTGAATAATGGATGAATGGATCCTAAGAAATTGAATTGTAAAGAATCGGTGATTATTGAGCTGGGCTCTAGACCGATGTAGATGACGGTGATTATTGAGCTGGGCTCTAGACCGTAATAGTTATCGGTGATTATTGAGCTGGGCTCTAGACCGATGTAGATAACGGTGATTATTGAGCTGGGCTCTAGACCGTAGTAGTTATCGGTGATTATTGAGCTGGGCTCTAGACCGATGTAGATGACGGTGATTATTGAGCTGGGCTCTAGACCGTAGTAGGTAACGGTGATTATTGAACTGGGCTCTAGACCGTGGTAAGAAATGATGAAATGACACTAAACGAACAAAGTTGATCATGAGATAATAACACCCTAGATTGAGGGTCTTGGAAATTGAAACATTGATTATACTTGGTATAGTTGTCATTGTACTTGTCAAATGCTTCCAAGTACTGACCTCCCCTTCACGGGGGAGGCCACCTCACAGTTTCAGGTAGAACTTGAAGGTTGCTACCACCGCCCGTTGCTTCGGGAAGATCAAAGGAGGGAGACGTGGTTCGTGCTTCTTCCGTTCCTGTTTTGAAAACATTTTGAACAATGCTCATGGATACTATTTTTAAATATTTGTTTGGGGGCTTGTATGCCCATGGTTGCCAAGGTGTGGCATGAACACTTATATTAAATGTTTCCGCTGCTTGAATGAATATTTTACATTATGTTTGTTTATGGATGTACTATGTGCGAATGATATCCCAGACGCCTTGTATAGTATGAATGTGTTGGACTGCGGTTGACTATTCGTACTGTACGGCGGATTGTTGACGTGTCCGGATAGGTCCGGGGCGTGACATGTGTCCTTTGGTTTAAACCCGAAAAAACTGAAGTCGAACCGATTGAACCGTGGTTCAATAAAAAAAATGAACAAACCAAACCAAAGTTTTTAGTGTGGATCAACATTTGGTTTTAGCTCAAAACTAAATTGAATAACCCAAACCCACCCCTTGTTTTATTTAGCTTCTTTAGCGAGAGAGCATCGGGTAGATGTAGGGCGATGCAAGGGACGGAAAGAGGCCTGAGACAGAAGGGATGACAATATGAACAAGGAATACGAAGTATTGACGGCCCGCCCCCTCCTGAATCAAAGATCGAAGGCCGACGTTTCACGATAGGATTTGGTCACATGCGCTCATGTGCCCTGTTTTTCGTTTAAATATTATTTTTTGGTATGTCGTGCTTTTTTATTCAGTTAATAATTGTGAGTTGTGAATGCTTTTTGTTGTGAGAATGAGTGGGAGTAATTAGGCTAATCTAGCAAATAATAGATTCGATTGATCCAAATAGCAAATAATAGATTCGGATATCTCGCACGTTCAACGATTAGTCTTGCTCAGTGTTGGACAATATATTATATGTCCTATTTAATGAATTTAATATAAGCATTTTCCTTTTTTGAACGGAATCTTGCATCTATTCATATCATAAGTTTCAGGATCATTACATCAATCAAAGGAAAAACAAATCTGACACCAACTAAACTCCAACAACTACGACAGTAAACTCTATGATTAGACTCAGAGACGGTCACCCCTGAAAGAGCAACACGAATTGCTAACCATGCAGCGGGTTTGACACAACCATCCATGTTCCCATAGATCCAAACATACCCAATGACATAAAAAAATCCTAAATTCCCAAACAAACTGACAAACCTAACAACATAGACGATAACAAGAAACCAAATGACAAAATAATGAAAACAAATAGGAGGAAGACGAAACATGAAAAAACTAAAAAAAAAAACAAAATAAATATCTTGAACCCTAGCACCCCGTTCAACCCCTGGCCGTGGTTCAGGAGGAGGCCAGACCATCGCTATGATTGTTGACCCGAGCAAGGCACGGCTCCCGCCCGTCGCTCGATTGATCTCCTGACGAACAACCTTCATCTGCCCCGCAATTTCAACCCCTCTGGAGCCTCCCTTTCTCTCTCCCTTGGCTTTCGCAACTCCTTCTCCATCGGCCGCCACAGCACAACTAGTGATATTGCTATGAACGTCTTCCTTCTCTGCTAAACTAATAGCCGCACCAAAGGACGACTAAAACTATAGCCGCACACAAGGCGGCAAAATCTGGAAACCCTTATTCAAGGGAGACGGCCGCATGGATTATAAGCATTTTCCGTTTAAAAAATTGATTTATTTGAGAGACAGGCTACACAGGTAATAAAATAAAGTTGTGAACGAAACTAATTTAAGGATGTTTTTCATGGATTGAATTTATTTGGCTTGGTCTGATTTGATTTGGTCTTATATGTTGAATGTTTATTTATTTATATTTTACAATTATTGAAGTTTAGTCTTATTTGGTTTGGTGTATTTAAGTTTTGTCTGGTTTGGTATCATCGTATATATATGAAGCTAAAACTAATTAAAGTAAAAACATCCTAAATATTTACATCCTATTGATTTTTAAAAGTCAACAATTTTTGCTATTAATTGTTAACCGTTTTTTTCCACACCCCAAAAGGTGGAATCGACCACCCCATACGCCCCTACATCCCGACCTGTCACACCGTTTTTTCACACATGCTAAAAAATATGTACGCATTAAATCTCGTTTAAACCTCGTACTATATTTACCTAAGTTAGATGTGCTATCATTCGATATGAAGCTAAAACTATTTAAAGCAAAAAACGTCTATTTTAAAGATCCTAATAACTCTATTTTAATTGAAACTCTATTTTAAGGAGTTTGGCCGAGGAAAAATGGACAATGATATAGATCCATTAGCCGATGCTTAAAGCTTGGTGTGCATGTAGACGACATGCTACTCCCCATACAGAATGAATCATTCCATCATTTCCGTTTCTAATATTCCACTCTGATTCGAAATCCTCGTCCAATCCACACTCTTCTATCCCACAAATCTCGGCCTCCTCCCCGTATATATCTTCCTTATTCTTAAACCAGAACACTCCACTCGATCTGCATTACAATGGTTCTGTCCATAGAAAGAGATCCGGAAGGCAGCCGGCGGGATGACGGAGAAGACGACGACGACTCGCCGGTGGAGCAGGTCCGGCTCACCGTCTCGACCCACGACGACCCGACCCTCCCGGTCTGGACCTTCCGAATGTGGACCCTCGGGATCCTCTCCTGCGCGGCCCTGTCCTTCCTCAACACCTTCTTCGGGTACCGGACCGAGCCGCTCATCATCAGCATGATCTCGGTCCAGGTCATCACCCTGCCCGCCGGACGGTTCATGGCCAAGGTGCTGCCCGAGAGGACCTTCCGGGTCGGGTCGTGGGAGTTCTCGCTGAACCCGGGCCCGTTTAACATGAAGGAGCACGTTCTGATATCCATATTTGCGAATGCCGGGTCCGCCTTCGGAAGCGGAACCGCTTATGCGGTTGGGATCGTGAATATAATCAAGGCTTTTTATATGAGGAAGATCTCGTTCTTGGCTGGATGGATTCTTGTCATCACTACCCAGGTTTTTTTCCCTCTTATTCTACTTCATAATTGATATCTTATTCTGTATCAGTAAAAAATATAAAAGTTAGATTTTAAAATTTGTAATATGAAATGAACACTATTTTACAAAATAATAATTTTCATAAAATAATATTGTAGTGTAATATGACGTCAAAATAGAACATGTGAAATATAAATCAAATGTTGTGATTAGAAAAACCGGAGGATGGTATATACTTCCTTCATCCTTTCAAATTTTGCCAAATTTGACAGTAGAGTAGAGAGAAATAACAAGAAGATTAAAATGGTAAAGTTTCGTTGGCAAATATTATTGCTTGGAGTTTTTTTTTTGGATCGTTATTGCTTGGAGTTATGTAGCCTGGTTATTATTATTTGATTTATTGATTTCCCGAGGTTTTGGATGTTTTGACTTTGTGTTTTAGTACGGTTTGACGGAGTATTTTAATCTATTTAAGTTGACCTTCTTAGGCTTACTTATCACAAATTTTAAAAAATAAATAAAAAATCTCTACTTTATGTGTAAAAATAAAAATATTACTCCGTATCCAAGATAATTAGAGAAAGACTATGTTTGGCAGACATAAGTCTCTGACTTCTAGTTTTTGTACTGTTCAAAAAGTCTCTAAAAGCTTCTAGTTATATGATTGGCATGACAATTTTTAAGAGCTTTTCAAAAATTAAAAGATTTTTTTTGAGATGCTATAGGCAGTAGCATCTGAAAAAAGTCCGTGACTTTTAGTATTAATTAACTCTAACAGCTTGTATACCAAACCGAACTAAATTAAACAGCCAGCTTTTTATCAAACATCTATCACGTTTTCTTTTTAAGATCTTTTCAATCACTAAAAGCTAACAGTTATTAAAAAGCTCACAAAAGTATCTTTTGAACTAGTTGTCTCAAACATACCCAAATTCATGTGTAAGGTCAAACTCTAATTTTTCTAAATTTTTTTCTAATTTTTTTCTTGAGTACAGGAATGTCATCGTGTGTACACATTTAGTGTGCAATTATTTTGTTTGTCTCCATTCAAACTATTCACAAGTTTTTTTTTTTTTTGCATTTTCCTTAAGAATGGAATGTTCATTCAGTTTCATAACTAATATACTCCCACATCCCTGAAACAACTTCCTACTTTCCTTATTTGGATATCCCTAATTTAACTTCTCATTTTCTTAAATGACAAGTTATCTGCATCAAAACAGTGCCAAACAGTGCAAAACAGTGTCCAAACAGTGTCAAAACTGTAAAATTTATCCCTTGATAAATTTATTTCCTTAATATGTGTTAGTCAAACCGGGAAGTTGTTTCAGGGACGGATGAATTATTTGTTTTTTTTTGTTTTCTTAATAACAAGAATTCATACTCGGAAGATTCTAAATTTGTGTAATAATAATTTTGAAATCATATCCTATATTCTATTCATTATATATTTACATAATTAAATTAAATACACGGAGCATTAATCATAATTTATACATACGGAGTATATAAAACGGCCGTAAGCGTTGAAAAGGAAAAATAACGGATATCGTATCTAATTTGGCTATATATACTATCGATTCAATTCACTTTTCAGCCAAGTAGCTAGGGTGGGTTACACAGTTTAACTGTCGGTTACTCCCTCCCCTATCAAAAAAAATCTTCTTACTTTACTTTTTCGTACGTAACATAAAAATCTTCTCATTATACTTTCAATAATTCTAAAAATAATACACTATTACAACTACTTTTTTTTGGAATTTGTCCTATATTTCATCACATTATTCCACTATTTTCTCATCATACACTCAATAATTCATATTCTTTTTCACTATTCTTAGTCTAATTTTTGAAATGGGAAATTTTAAAGTTACGGAAAGAACGAGTATCTTTTACGGCAATTTTGCTGGTGTGGATGTGACTTAAAACGACTTTGACTAATAAATTTTGGAGTTTTTTTAAGTTTGTTTGTCAAAGACAAAATTTGACGGTCAACCAATTTTGAATTCTTTTATAAAGTTTAGACAAGTTGAACTTATTATTGAAATAATTGGAGATAGGGTTGAATCATTGAATCATTAGGACCACAGGATAATGAAAATTTGTACGGAGTATTCACACTCACAAAGCGCCAAACACCATTATCTTATTGGCATTAAAAAATTCACGCAGAAAAATAATGAAATTTAAGGCAATTCATTAATTTATGAAGTTCCTTGATATGCTCACGGATAGAATTAATTAGTGCATATATGGTTGAGCGTTACTAAAGTAATTATAAAATACTCCCAAATCAATTTGTGAAGAATATTTCGCCAAATGTTAAGGAACTACTTAAATAGGCTAAAGGGTCAAATAGGTACATAAACTAACTTAAAGTGTTCAATTAGCCCCTTATATAGGAGGTTCTCCCCGGCCGTCGCCAATTGGGGCGGTTGCCGGTTGAATTTTTTGATGAAATGTTTTGAGCATCTTCTTCATTAAGTCTAGTTTACCCATATCAAATTTCAGCTAAAAATTAAATCAGGAAGGCAGTCAAATGATTTTCCGAAATGTACTGCGTTGTTTAACTGCGCAGTTATCTTCAAAAAATCATTTGACTTTCTTCCCGGTTTAATTTTTAGCTGAAATTTGGTATGGGTAAACTAGACTTAATGAAGAACATGCTCAAAAAATTTCATCAAAAAATTCCACCGGTAACCACCCCAATTGGCGACGACCGGGCAGAACCTCTTATATAAGGGGTTAATTGAACACTTTAAGTTAGTTCATGTACCTATTTGACTCTTTAGCCACTTAAATAAAATTATTGTCACAATCACAATCATAGAGTCATTATTGTCACAATAACAAAATTATTTTAATTATCGAAATAAAATTATGATAATAATGTATAGTTTTCATAATATATTGTGTAAAAACGACGCAGTTTTGCAAATTAAAAAAAAATCACGAGTAAACAATAACTCGTCTGTAAAGAAATGTGACTTACGTGAATTAGAAATGTTACTGCAAGCAAGTCAAAATGTATATATCTTGTCTAAAACATTGATTTCAATGTAAACAATAAAATAAGAAATATAATTGCTTAATTACTTTCTAAATAGTGAATATGTTTTAAAGAAATAATTTTTTCCAAAAAACATTTTTTTTCAAATAAAAAAGATTGATTTTAAAAAAATGTTTTTTTTGTTTCAATAAAAGAGGTTTATTTTTTGAAGTAACTCGTGTTATGGAAAATGTAACTCGTGTCGACAGAAAATATAGTTCACGTTTATGCAAAATGTAACTTGCTAAGACAAGTCCAAATATAACTCGTGTACATGATGATGTAAATCATGGATAAAAAGATGTAACTCGGGAACAAAAAAATGTAATATATTTTAAATGTAACTTGAGCCAAATCAAAATATAAAAAAAATCCTTTTCATCTTTTCTTGCTTCAGATTTGAAATCAATTTTCTGTGTTATATCATTCGTCCTGTTACTCCCCAAGAATTGTATAGTCTTGAGATTATTGAGTTTATTCTTGAAGATTGAGCTTTCACATGGGGGGTGGGAGCAGGATGCTCGCGGTGGATCATATACGAACTCTATATTATAATAATATTATAATTATTATAATATGGTACTCTTATTTAAAGTAATTATGCGCAAAGATCAGATATAAACTTAATTACGTAAGCACTAATATTAGATTGCCAACAATTTGAATCCCAAGAATTCGTCAAAAACTCGATCATTTCAACAATTAATGGCGTATCGAATCTCAGTTTACTATCATACGAGTATTTGATAAAATTTAGATAGTTAAATTTTATTTTTGCCCTTTTTCAAACTGTATCAATTTAATAACTATCAATAAATTTCAGTGTTCCTTATAATTATGATATTCAATTTTTAGTCAAAAGTTGATAACTTTTTGTTTTATGGTTTAAATTTTAAAACACGACAGATAGTTATGTAGGACTTACGATATTGACATATTGTACAGGTTTTAGGATATGGATGGGCAGGAATACTGAGAAAATATGTGATCGATCCTGGTGAGATGTGGTGGCCCCAAAGCTTGGTGCAAGTCTCTCTTTTCAGGTAATTAACTAATACTCGCTCCGTAACATTTATATTTTCTCACTTTCCTTTTTTTGAATGTAACACTCATATCTTCTCATTTCTTAATCTTTCAATCATACCCTCAATAATTCTAAAAATAATACTCTGTACACTATTACACCTATTTTTTTGGATTTATCCTTCATTCCATCACATTATTTCACTATCTTCTCATCATACCCTCAATAATTTATATTCTCTTTCACTATTCTTAATCTACCTACTTTTCAAATGAGAACATATATATGTTACGGAGGGAGTATAATTAATTAATCTTAAAAAAACTAATCAATCTTTTAGGATGTTTTCTTTTGGATTGAAATTTGTTGGTCTGGTCTGGTCTAGTCTGGTCTGGTAAATGTCTGGTCTTTGTGTATTTTATAACTAGGCAAGTCTGGTCTGGTCTGATCTGGTCTGGGACTGAAAATAGTCCAAAAGAAAACATCCTTAGATGGTGAGACTCTGATCTCACCATGAGGCCATCAGTATTTACCACACAGAAAGCCAAAACTATTAATGGACACTGTTTTCTATTTTAAAGTTTTGATACAACAACGACAACAACAACAACATCTAAGCCTTACTCCCAAACGATATTGGGGTCGGCTAACATAAATCGATACATGATTGTTGAGGTTTATTCCTTCAACCCTCGGGTCCAACACGTAAACCCAAGGATTTCGAGTGGAGTGTGTATGAATATCTAGCCCATAGCAAGTAATATGGATCAAGGAGAACAGTAAGCAGCGAGTAAGTGATTAGTTATTATTATCTCTTAATAACTCCCTAATACAATACTTCTCTCTAAGGCTCGTCGGCCGATCGTCTTACAAGGCAGTAGAAGTGCTGCGAGTAAGAATGCTATAGCTAGAGTGCTAAGAATAGAAAGTTGCCAGCCCTGTACAATGAAATAAATGCTTCTATTTATATCCACCAATGAGCAGGTGGCTATACTGACGTGGAAGCCTGCGGTTCGCTGGTGTCCCAACCACCAAATCTTCAGCATTAAATGCACTTCCCGCCAGAATCTAGGTTTCCCGCCTATTTAGTGGGGACGTTCGTCCGTCCGGGGAGGGAGCTGGATTGCTCCAGGTGGCCTCCAAGGGGTATGGCCGCTCGTCCCCTGGCCTTTGGATTCTCGCCATGTGGACTGGACTGCCTCTGATGGCTATGGGCTTGCTATGACGACGTTCGTCGTCATTCTGGTGACCCGTGGTCCTGCTCCTTGTCCCAGCATGGACGTTCGTCGAGATGGGCCGTTGAGCCTAAACCCCAACTGCAGACGTTCGTCCCTTCTGGAGGAACATGGGCTTGCCAGACTAGCTTAGTGATCTAGCTGGACGTACGTCCGGTAGTAAGGGTAAATGGGCCGAACCTCAACTTGGGCCATTAACCCAACAATGATATTACCAAAAGGAAAAGAAAGAAAATAAAGATAAAAAAGATAAGCTATTATAAAAAAAGATAATATAAAAGAGATGAATATACATATATAAAAGATAAAATAAAAAGGATAAAGTAATATTTATATATAAGGATAAAAATATAAAAGAAAAAGAAAAAAAGAAGAAGAAAAATGAGGGGAAAAGATGATACAAGATCACTCATCCACACGAATATCCGCCCTCCATTTTTCTCTCTCCAAAGTCATACCCTCATCCAATCCAAGAAGAAGCATATCACTTCTGACTCCCCTGATCCACGTCTGTTTAGGCATATCACTTCTATTTTAAAGTTTTGATGCTTCAACAAAAATAAACTTCCGTAGAACTCAAATTATTTTTTTTTGCATTTTTATACAACGAATTCAAATTAAAATAGCTCCAAATAGGAATAAAAATTAAACAAAATATATACTACATATATAAGAGTAATTATGTTTTTTTCTCAAAATAAAATTTATTTGTCTATCCCCGATCTGTACTATCTATAATCAAAACTTTTAGCGTACTAAACTTTTAAAGAGAATCTTCCGCAATAGGAATAAAATAGTGTAAACATTCAAAATAAGAGCATCATGTTATTCTCTAATTAGGAGTACGTGCTTAACAATTTTTTTACGGTGTTTTGACATTATTAGACTTTAAATGTAACAATAGATTGTCATATTGAACTACTTTTCAAACATAAAAGTATTACTCTTATTTACTATCGTATATGTTAATAATAAAAATACAAGTCTTCCAATAAAAATATAGTAGAAATTCCAATATATTGTTATTCCTATTTAAAGGAGTTTCTTTATTTTAAAATACAATTCTCATATACAAAAAATCAAATTTTACCAGATTAATTCATCATTAAATTCAATAAAACATTTTTAGATTTTTCCCTAAAAGTAAGATCTACCTCACATGCAATCATATCCACATCTAAAAAAATACTAGTATTAGTGAATTTGAGGACAAGTATATATAATTTCACCATCAATTTCTGTTGCTAAAACCTTAAACCTCATCACACACTTCAATTCAAAGTCTGAAACTCAAATCTGCCACCACGTTCTTCATATCATATTCACTTATTATGCATATCTTATTGATCTCGACGAATTGAAGTACCTGGTATTAAAATATTAAATACGGAGTACTACCTATATTCTACAAAAATTGACTGACTTTTCCTCATTTAGATAAAAATTGTTTAGCTGTGTTTAATGATATAATTTTATACAAATATACAATGCTCCATTCTATATACCACACTGAAGTAATGTAAAAACGTTCATCATTAAATAATTATTTAAAAGTTTTCTACACTTTCCTATTTTGGAATTGAGATGTATTTAAAAGTTTGTCACATTTTCCCTTTTTGATAAGATTTTCCTTTAAAAATTGTTAAATGTCCCACACTGGAAATGTTTGGATGAATAAAATGCTATATTAACACATGGACTACTTCTCCTATCAGGTCGACCTTTTAGGATGAAACCCCGTGTCTTAACATGATATCAGAGCCAAATCGATCCATGGTGTGGGCCCCCTTGTGAAAAATGATGTCACGATTATAAAAAAAATGACAATTACGGCCGAATGAAAAAACAGACCGATAAAAAAAATGAATGACGTCACGATCCAGACGAAGTGTCTGATCGTGAGGAGGGGTGTTAAATGTCCCACACCGCAAACGTTTGGATGAATAAAATGCTATATTAACACATGAGATATTCCTCCTATTATGTTGACCTTTTAGCATGGAACCCCGTGTCTTAACAAAAATACTCAATTACTCTTACTTTTTCTACTTTTTATCGTCTCTTTCATACTTTTTCACATTCTCTCTTATTTTTTCTACACTATTCATTACTCCTATTATTCTCTCCTTAAATCTTGTGCCAAGACCGTAGGGATCATTTAAATACGGAGGGAGTATAATTTTATAGAAGTACAAAATATGTAGTATATAACTTTCTCTACAATATATTATATTTGTTCCATTAATGGGACAAATATAATACGATAGTATTATATTTTGCTCTAAATACTTTATCAACTAATTTGGTGTTTATTTTCTCTTTCTCTTCTACAAAATTCTAATCAGATAGTCCTACTTTTTTGTGAAATTTGTCAAACTCCAACCAAACAACATGAAGATTGACTAAAAATTTGATCAAATTCTCACACCATCACACGTTAGACACTTAGACCAAATACTCAAGTACGGAGTATATGACAAATTTTATTTGAGGGAAGAGCATTTGACAATTTTATGTTAGATTCATCCGGATCCGGAGCTTATATCTTGCTTTACAGCAAGGTAGGGTGTCTCACTATCGCACCATCATCTAATCGAAAATTCAACAGTGAGAGATCTTCGAGTCCATTCTTTTGTTGATCGCGAGGCCATTCTCATTACTATCTGTCCGTCTTTGCCGCAAGGCACTCTATCCTACACCAGAGTATCCAGACCCGATGGATCCCGAATTTTATTTCACTCAATTGGAATGAGTGGAACAATATTGAATAGAGAAAATGGGAAAGATGAATGAAATTGCTTAAGTTGGAGCAATCTTTAGCAATTTTTATTGTATTCCCTAAATAAAGTCTATTAAGAGAAATGATAAATTGAATTCCATAAATCATGCATGTGCTTATTTTAGTAATGTAATTGCACACTTACAGATAATACGAGTAGATTTTTTCACATCAAGGACATTTGCACTGAAATGCATTACTTCCAACGGAAGTCGACCCCGGTGATAAGCTTTCCACTCTTGGAAAATATGCTTTTCAGTTTTCAGTGGTAAAATCCTGAATAAGTCTAAATAAAGTTATTGGATCAAACGTGTAACTGAGTAAAGTTACAAGACTAAAAAAAGTTATCACAAAATTACAAAACTAAAACGGTAAATCTCCTCTTTAGTATAAGTCTAAATAATGTTGTGTGCTAATTAAATGAATGAACATATTTGTACATGCAGGGCACTACATGAGAAAGAAGAGAACACAAGGTCAATGACAAAGTGGAAGTTCTTCTGGTTAGCAATGCTATGCGGGGCGATATGGTACATTGTCCCAGGCTTTCTCTTCCCAACCATATCAAACATCTCCCTGCTATGTCTGATATACCCGAAGTCAGTTATGGCCCAACAAATCGGGTCGGGCATGAGAGGTCTGGGCATTTTCTCCTTCACCTTCGACTGGTCTGTCATTGCCTCGTACCTCACCAGCCCACTCGTCACCCCCTTCTTCGCCATCGCCAACATCACCGTCGGCTACGTCGCTGTCATCTACGTCATCATCCCCATCGCTTACTGGGGGTTGAACCTCTACAGCGCTCGAACCTACCCTCTGTTCTCCTCCCACTTGTTCAACAACCAAGGCCAAGTCTACAACGTTTCTTCCATTGTTAATGAAAGGTTCGAGCTTGACAAGACGGCGTACGCCCGACAAGGGCGTATCAGCCTCAGCATCTTCTTTGCGCTGTCGTATGGTCTCAACTTTGCCTCCGTCATCGCCACCCTCACCCACGTTGCTCTCTTCAATGGAAGGTTAGTTCTTTTTTCGTTTTCTTTTCACTTTGAGTTCTGTCTATGTCTCTATGAGTAGTTTTATTCTTCGTGTCGATCAAGTTTGACAAAGTTTCAAGGGACGGAGAGACTGTCAAACAGATTAAAGTGTGACAATTTGAAAACCTGCTTGATTAGATTACCTGGTATCAAACTTTGATTGTAAAGCCAAAGTCTGGTTGTTGCATACAGGGATATCTATAACAGGTTCAAGTCTTCACACAAAGGGAAAAATGATATCCACACGAGGCTTATGAAGAAATATAAGGACATTCCGGCTTGGTGGTTTTACGTGACGCTTGCGCTCTCATTGGCTCTCTCACTTTTCATGTGTATCTTCATGAAGAATGAGATTCAGTTGCCTTGGTGGGGTTTACTCCTTGCTGTTGCTGTTGCCTGCCTATTCACCCTTCCCATTAGTGTCATTACTGCCACTACAAACCAGGTAATTGCCATGAGTTGGGAAAATTGTTGTTTTGAACATGTAATTGCTTTTGGACACATAATTAAGAGTCCTCTTGCTTCACTCATTTTTAGAGCATACCTTGTAACTAATAAGTTTATCCATATAAAGATTATTACACTGGAGTCTACTTTTCCCGAAGGAAAACATCACATCGGTGATAACTTTTTTTGATGATTTGTTTGCCAGAAAAGTCACATTACGCTTAAAATTACTAAATTTACACAAACTTATTGTAGGGTTGATTTTCATGTAAAAATTATAATTGTGTTATGCATACTAATTTAATAAATCAATGATTCCTCGACACGAGTATTTCTGTAGAAGCTTTAACGCTTTTAACTTCTATGGAGATTTGCTAATTTGTTCTTGAACTTTTGTTTGTGCATATTATTGATCCTCCTAACTTTACTTACCTGCAGTTAATGTTTATGAAATTAATAAATCTGCTCACTTCAAAAGACTTCTTCACCGGAATGTGTTGATTTTCTGCAAAATACGCAATGGTGAGATGATCGCCTACATTCCGGTGAATATTCCTTAAGATCGACAAATTTATTAGTGTCAAATATCCAAGTGAATAATGGCAATAAACATGAATCAGGGATCTAAACTTACAATATACTCTATTTTTTTGCAACAATATACTCTAAATTTTATTTCTTGAAATCTAAAATGTTATTTGAAAATATGTATGAGCAGACACCAGGACTAAACGTGATTACGGAATACATATTGGGTCTTCTGATGCCTGGGAAACCAATAGCCAACGTTTGTTTCAAAACATTTGGGTATATAAGCATGAGTCAAGCAGTTTCCTTCTTGAACGATTTCAAATTAGGACATTACATGAAGATTCCTCCCAGATCAATGTTCATTGTTCAGGTACTTCATCTTTCCCAGTTGCATCTTTCTATCATTATACACTACTCTGCTTAGAAAAAAACTGTTTCTACACATTTTATTGTACACACCTTAGAAAAACTATTTTTTCGAATATGTTATTCATAGACAAAAAATAACATGTTCATAGATATGTGTATAAAGTGTGTATGAAAAAGTACAAAAAAGTGTGTACAAGAATTGAAGTAGGGCTGCCCAACTTAGAAGCCGTTCTCTTCACCTGATCTGAATGTTTCTGATCTGAATTTTTTAAGTTCTAGTCTGATCTGATCTAAATGTTTCTGATCTGATCTGATCTGAATCTTTCTGATCTGGTCTGATCTGATCTGAATGTCCCTGATCTGATCTGAATGTTCCTGATCTGATCTGATCTGAATGTTCCTGGCCTGATCTGAATGTTCCTGATCTGATCTGAATGTTCCTGATCTGATCTGAATCCTTCTGATCTGATCTGAATCCTTCTGATCTGGCCCGATTTAAATATTTATAAAATTATAATTATAATTTTATTTTTTATTATAATAATTAGAAATGCAATTACACATATAATTTAAATATAATTATAATTATAATCATAATTATAAAAAAGTTATAATTATAATAATTATAATAGGTATAATTATTATTATACGTATTACACTAGTTATAAATATAGCTATAATTAGAGGAAGCGGCCCAGCTCAGCTGGTCGCCGACTCACTCTCCCCTATGGGAGGTCTCGGGTTCAAAACTCAATAGGGTGAGTTTCAACCTAGTTTACTTCAGGGGGACCCCCAGACCCCCTCCCTCAGACGTCTCCTAGAGTAAACAAAAAAAAACTATAATTATAATTGTAATTATATCTTTAGTTATAATTATTTCTATAATTATAATTTTAATTATAATTATAATATTTATTTCTATAATTTTAATTGTAATTACTCTGTGTAATATAATAATAACAAAAAAAATACTAATAACAATAACAACAACAACCATAATAGTAATAAGACTAATAATAATCATGATAATAATAAATATCATAATAATTATAATAATCATAGTAATCATAGTAATGATGATGATGATGATCATCATAATAATAATAGTAATAATAATAATAATAATTACAATAAAAATAAGAATAATAATAATAAAAATTAATAATAATAATAATAGTAATAGTAATAATAATAGTAATAATAATAATAATAATAAATACAATAACAATAAGAATAACAATAAGAATAACAATAAGAATAACAATAATAATAATAATAATAATTATTATTATTATTATTATAGTAATTATTATTATTATTAATATTATCATAATTATATTATAATAAAAGGGATTAATCATGTCTGAACTTTTCTGATCTGATCTGAATGTTCCTGATCTGAATATTCCTGATCTGATCTGAATGTTTCTGATCTGATCTGATCTGATCTGAATCTTTCTGATCTGATCTGAATTTTTCTGATCTGATCTGATCTGAATTTTTCTGATCTGATCTGAATAAAATAAGAATAAGCAATAAGTAATAAGATTAAGACGAACAGAACAACTTCTTAATACATGAATGAATAAAATCTTAATTATTTACCATGGTATTTTTTAAAATCTCCATTATTTAAACAAAAAATAGATTATAATAAACGAAATACACTACATATGTTTTTATTAGTTGTAACAATTTGAATTTTAAATTTTAAATAATTCAAAATTTATGACTAAAATAAAAAGTGTTACAAATACGGAGTATGTAACTTCTAGTAACTATAGAAGTAACTTTAGTCATAATAACTTATGTTTAATTCTTTTACCATGACATTATTCCCATAATAATTTTATCATATTTTTGTAAAAACATGGAATGGAAATATGGTTGATGTATGTACCTATATAGCTTGTAGGAACAGTTGTAGCTGGCACGATAAACATTGCGGTGGCCTGGGGGCTATTGACATCAATCCCCAACATATGCCAAGACAATTTGCTCCCTCCAAACAGCCAATGGACCTGTCCTAACGACAGGGTATTCTTCGATGCTTCCGTAATTTGGGGCTTAGTAGGCCCAAAACGAATATTTGGGTCATTGGGCCGTTACGGCGCGCTCAACTGGGGCTTCTTGCTCGGTGCAATGGGCCCTCTAGTGGTATGGCTCTTCCAGAGAGGCTTCCCATCGAAACGCTGGATCAGTCTCATAAACCTGCCGGTGCTCCTATCGGCCACAGCCACCATGCCGCCGGCGACCTCCCTGAACTTCAACAGCTGGATTGTTGTTGGGACGATCTTCAATTTCTTCATCTTCAGGTACAGAAGGAAGTGGTGGCAGAGGTACAACTACGTCCTGTCAGCGGCGATGGATGCTGGGCTGGCTTGCATGGCGGTGGCTTTGTACTTTGGCTTTGAGGTGGAGAATGTGAGCGTAAATTGGTGGGGAAGCCAGGGTGAGCATTGTGACTTAGCCACTTGCCCTACCGCGCGTGGAATACAAGTCGATGGATGCCCGATTTTCTAAGTTGTTTATGTTCTTATTTATTTACTGCAGATAATATTAGAATTTTTAGTTTTCACTTAAAATGTTTATGCTTCAATGTTCTTGTCTATTTCCTTTCTTTTGTATAGAACCAGAAGCTAAATTGTCATAGTTAGTAAGTTAGCTCATACTCTATATTCACTTGGCTACGAAAAAATGAGGCTATTTTGCTGCTACAGATAAAATGAAAACATACCAAAAGAATGAAAACATACTAAAAGAATGATAACATGCTTACCAAAAAACACACGTATGCGGTATGCATGCTTTAAAGGGTGTTTTTATTTTTAATCATTTTACTCTCATATTTAATCTTGGTAAAACGAAATTGTATGTTTATCTCAAATATTCAAAACATCAGTAAGTCACTAGTTGTCATTGTTAGCAATCACGGCATCATCATTCACCCCGAAGTCCTAAACACTTTACTATCACAGGACACTGCTTACTGCTTAGCACTTGTAAATTGCACGTCCTTGGTGAAAGAAGTGATAATATAAGATTGTGTAACCAATGCAATGCTAAAGTGCTCCACTAAAAAGGAGTGTTGTACCAAGGGCAGATCCATAAATACGGGTTGGACTGAGTTGAAGACTAATTAACTAGATTTTAAATATTAGCAAGGTGAGCCAAGGGCAGATCCAGAAATACGGGTTGGACTGAGTTGAAGACTAATTAACTAGATTTTAAATATTAGCAAGGTGAGCTAAATATGAAAAATGAAAAAAAAAATCATTAAAACCTGGGGAAAAAAATTGTTCGGTACTTCGGCCATGTACATTTCATAGTGTTTTTTATACGCCATACTTTTTATTGACAAGGACAAATATACTTTTATAGCTGATCAGTGAATCCAGTGATCACATGCATAAAACTTATAGTGCGAAAAATATATGAAAACAACTAAAATGGTCTTCTACAATCACTTCAGTCAATTCAGCAAGAAAATAAACTTTTTCTTTGTGTATTTTGATTATTACACAACTCAACGTTGGAAATCAAAAGTTATGTGTTTACTCTTTAGTAAAAAGTTGGCTGATAAACTGAAAAACAAGAGTAACAAAACGGGCTCTAAATTGATATGCCCACCTCAAGCTGTTAGTGGTAAATGGTAATGACTTTCATCCAGTGGTAACAAGTGCCTACTATTTACTAAAAATATTCATCACAAGACATAATTAAGTTAAATACAACTGAAAATGGGAGTAGTTAATAACATGAACTGGGTTTAGTTGAATCAATTCCATTTCCATGAACTAACACATGATAACACAACTGAAAATCATGTTTTGGCTTGACAACAGAGTAAACTGCAAACCAACATTTTGTTGGACAATATTGGTCACAATTAATTGCATCATCAAGCTGATCGGATCCCACCCATGAAGGTATTGGGATCGGGGCAATTGCCACTAAATTGTGCTTGCGAAAAATCAAATCCCGGATTCTGCATAAGAAGCATAGCTTCACGTGGCCAGAAATGAATAGGAACTAAAAAATCACAGAATAGAAAACCAGTATGAAGTATGTACCTCTTCCTGGAATCTTTGAAGCATGAGGCGCTTCTGTTCAATGTCTGTGGCATAAGGATCCAACTGACCTTGACCCCTGATAGGAGAAGGCCATGTCTGTCCTTTATCCCTCTTCTGAAGGGTTACATGCATAACATCATCCTCTGCAAGAGGTAATTTGTTTTTACAGCCACATGCATTTCTAAAAAAACACTTAAAGCATAATTTGCGGGTTGGCATTCAACTAATGGTTTGGGTAATACTTTCCCGTCCTACACAAACAATTACAATCCAATGATATGATCTTATGTACAAAGGACATGTCTTTAGCAGTAAAAATACAAGCTTTCCTGTAGGAAAACACATAATGCTTCATAATACTTGGTGGTTGTGATGCTTTGAAAAGGATATAGATATTCTTTAAGCAAATAGACAAATGCTAATGAACACAACCTTTTCAAAGAAGAGACTTCACATGGGCCAAATGTTCTATGAGTTTTTTTTTGGCTGAGCTTCCTAACCTATTATAGTATCTATTTAAAATGTTCTATGAGTTAAAACAAAAGAACTACACACTCCATACTTTATTTTGCAGAGTCCTATTCAAAATGGAACATTTGCAGATAGATGAAAAAGAAGTTACTTTTCTCCTAAATATTAGAACTATTACCTAAAGTCCAGAATGAACAATCCGTCTTCACATGATTGGCTAGATCATGCTGCAAACCCCATAAAAACATACAAAAAAGTTATCCGATATGGATACTCAATATATTAAAGCTTAAACCACCTGAGAAGGAAAAGTGAAGGCAGGGGGAGAGAACTAACATTAAGGTATGGAGGGTTGCCTTTAATCCCAACTTCGAAATGTTTGGACTCTATCTTGCAATAGAATAGCTTCTTAGGAACATTTTCCGGGAGATTGATGTAAATATTAACCTCTTCAAGCGTTTGGTCCCATTCGAAGACCTTCTGATCTGAAAATCAATCACAAAACCCTAATTACAGCGATCACGGGGGCAACAGTTATATGTGCACTGCGACAGAGAGAGAGCAAGAGAGATTACCGTTGTGGGTGAAGCTGTGACGTTTCTCAGGGGCCAATTTATCAGCCATTTGTTTCCAGATTTCGAGCTTCTATCTGCACCTCATCTACTGTTCTCCCCTAGCTTTGGCTTGATTTCAATACCTTCGGATTTCATCCTTTTTTACATTAATCCATATTTGTGATCTGAGTGATTTGATCTGATTTAAATATTTTTATAATTTTAATTATAATTATTATACTTATAATTAATTACAAATATAATTTAAATAAAATTATAATTATAATTGTAGTCATAATTTTTTTAATAATAATTAAAATTAAATTAAAAATTATAATAATTATACATACTGCACTAATTATAACTATAGATACAATTATAATTGTAATTATATTTTTAATAATAATTATCTATATAATTATAATTTAAATATAATTATAATTATAAATAGAATTATAATTACTCCATATAATAGTAATAATTACTATAATAATATTAATTATTATTATTATTTTTATAATTATTATAATAATAATATTATTATTATACTAATGATATAATAATAATAATATAATAATATAATAATATTATTAAAATAATAATATTATAACAACAACAACAACAAAAACAATAATAATAGTAATACTATAATATTGTTATATTATTATTTATATTATATTATTATTAATATATTATTATTAATTATAATGTAATAATAATAATAATAACAATAATAATACTAGTAGTAATAACAACAACAACAACAACAACAACAACAACAATAATAATAATAATAATAATAATAATAATAATAACAATAATAATAATAATAATAATAATAATAATAATAATAATAATAATAATAATAATAATAATAATAATAATAATAATAATAATAATAATTAAAGTGATAAATCATTTTTGAACTTTTCTGATCTGATATGAATGTTTCTGATCTGATCTGAATGTTTCTAATTTTATCTGAATGCTTATGATCTGGTTTGATCTGAATGTTTCTGATTTTATCTGAATGCTTATGATCTGGTCTGATCTGATCTGAATTATCCTGATCTGATCTGAATAAAATAAGAATAAGTAATAAGTAATAAGAATAAGACGAAGAGAACAACTTCGTAGTCTTACTCATTCCGTCTCATAAAGAAGTTTCCATATATTTGGATATACGATATTTAATTCACGATAAAGTTAAGTGGTCTCTATTAACACTATGATTATTTGTAAATATATTTTACATATTTTGAAAAGATATCAAAGTTCTATATAGTCGCGATTCTTTTTTTGATAAGTACTGAATATATAGAGTAATTAAAACGTTATGAGCAATTTAAGTTGACCAAATGATCAACAGTGAATGAGAACTTCATTTTGGTATAGAGGTAAATGTCATAAGGAATATTTTCTAGTATCATGTAATAAGACTTAAAATATTATTTCAAGCGTACATGTTTGCTTGGGTAGCATTTGGAAGAACATATTAAGTTAAGAAACCACTTAATTTGTTTGGATATTTTGGTGTTAGCATTTGTTTTTCTAATTAAGTAAAATGCTCTTTCAAAAAAAATGTAGCCTCAGATCGAGCCGGACTATTGATCCTACAGTTTGATCTATTTTTGGTGCATTTTTTTTATTTAGAAGCCTGGTCAAGCTTAGGTAGTCGGTTGATCCGAAAGACCGAAATGATACGATATGGTGCTAATTTAGCTTGTAGGATCATGGCCAGCCAATTCTTAACTTGTACTATGTATACTTCGTATAAGAAGGCATAGTCTGATTTCCAAAAGATGATCCCCATTCAGTGCATGCTCAAACCCCATGTACGAAAGAAAACATACCACTTCCAAAAGAAGAAAAGAAAGATACTCCTCTACATATACATTTGCATACTTGTGTGCGTGCATTCTTTCTCTCCAGGGGTTTCCATTGTCTTCCTAAACTCCAAGTCAGCATGACCATGGTTGATGCTAGTGTATGACAACATAGGGTTGTTTGTCTCTCAAGATAAATTTCATCACTAGCACTAATTATATTAGAATAGTAAATCAGAGTTTGTATCTACAGAGAAAGTAATAATACTTGAATTTGTGTAATGTTTCAAATAAAAGTAAACATGGGGATCTTGGATTTACTACTTCCTATCAGGGGCGGACCGTAGTACAGACCCAGGGGGGCGATCGCCCCCCAACAACAAATTTTTTAGTGTATATATATATGATAAAAAATAATTTTCGCCCTCCCAAAAAATATTTTGTTTAAGTTACCGCCCTCCCAAGACAAACTTCCTGGGTCCGCCCCTGCTTCCTATGCACTTATTGAAATTCTTATTGATCTTGATTATTTTATTATCCCCTCTTGAATACTCAATCGTAGAAAATCTGCAAGGAATAAAGGTATAAATGTGGATGCAGCGATAGATAGCTCTGGTGGAATTAGAGCATAGGGATGGGTTGCAAGGAATGATCAAGGAGAATTTGTCAAAGCATGTGCTACTTCATGCAAAGCGGAATGGTCTCTGGCTGAAACTGAAACGGTGGGAATACGTGAGGCCGTCATAAGAGTTACTACCTCCGTCCCTTTTATATTGGGACGGAAGAGGGTGACACGAGCTTTAAGAAAAGTGGGTTTGTGTGGTTGATATTGATTGATAAAGTAAGAATAAAGTAAGAATAATTTTGAGCCACACAAACTTTACCAAATAAGGTATGAGACAATTAAATAGGGACATCCCAATATGGTAAAACGGGACATTAAAAGGGGACGGAGGGAGTATTAAGGAAGGATAGGAAAATGTTGAGATTGAATCTGATGCACATGTGACTGGTCGAGGAGTCCAAAAAGGTGACGGTATTGCTTGTATGGATCTGATCCTTGATGATATTCGTTCTTTACTTCAAACAAAGAATAGATTTAAGATCTCTTTTTGTAAACGATATGCGAATCGTGTGGTTTAACATGTTGTAATCTCAAATCATAGTAGTAGTCATAATTTTATACCAGCATGGATTGTAAGTTAGGTGGCGAATGATTTATTAGCTTTTTGGAGTTAGTTTGTTTCGGTTAAAAACGTCCAGTGCAGCTAAAGCCTAAAGGAAAGGAAAAGAAGCGGACGATTACCCAGGGCGACGGATGATTTACCAGCGCAGCACTGCGGCAGACCACTCCGTGTCTCCGTCCTCCGCGGCTCGCCCAGACGGCGGACGCCGCCTCTCCTCTGCCGCTCGCCCAGACCAGCCACGTTCGTTTGAGGCTTTGACTGCTGCCTGCTTCTCCTTCTCCACTCTCCAGCCACATCAGGTAAGGGTTTCACACTTTCATTGTTTCAGTTTTTAGTTTTTGCAATTTGTAGTTTAATTTAAATATTTTATTTGTTATTTTAGTTTGTGTAATTGTTTATTTGTGTTAATTACTTAGTGTGTCACAATTGATTTGTGTGCTTTGAATTATAAAATGAAAAATTAGGATTTAGGAATGTCAAATGTGATTTATGAATTTCTTAAAATATTAATATTAATTATATGAAGTCGAATGTGATTTGTGAATTTCTTTCTTAAAATATTAATACGGAGTATGAATTATATGAATTCAAAGAAAATATTGATTAGTTTTTATTTTTTTTTGCTAATTTTAGCAGGTATGGCTACTCAATCTACTTCCAAAAAGGCAAAACCCACATTGCATTCGTTTTATAAGCCTTACAAGCACTCAAAGCTTAAAACTTCTAATATCTCATCCGCTCTAGAGGAAGTAGTTTCTGATGCACTTGAAATTGAGCGGAATCCGGGAAAATGCAAAACGATAAGTGATTGGCCGTTAGAGAAAAGAGATGAAATTAGACGATCTTATTTGATGTTTGGACCTTATCAACTGAAAATGAACTTTTACAAAGGTCGAGTGTAAGAGTTGGTCAAATCTGGAAAGGCAGAACACTTCAAAATGGTTACAAGATTAATTCATCTTGTATTGACTTTACCTGTTTCGACTACAGCAACAGAAAGATCATTTTTTGCAATGAAACTCGTGAAGACTGAAATTCGTAACAAGATGAAAGATGAATTTATTGCCGATCGTTTGACCATCTTTATTGAAAAAGAATTTGCCAACAAAATCAACGTCTAGTCTGTTATAAATGAGTTTGCTAAGGTCAAAGAGCGTCGTGTTCAGTTGACGTTTTAGTTTCAAACATTGTATGTATTGTTTAAAAATATTACTATGAATTTTAATGTATTTTAATCGTTATGTTCACACTATTTCTCATTTTTTTCTCTCAATTAGACTAAAAAGCCACTAAGCAGTTATTGATCTATTCTAAATAACCTAAATCTTTGTAACGTACTGCTTCTTCCTTCTTTTTATTTTTTATTTTATTTTATGTAACGTACCCCTCCCAGCCTCCATCTAGATCCATTAACCGTAACCTAAGTAGCACGGAAACGGGAAACGGGAAACGTGAGAAACGTAATTTCTAAAAAATATAGGACACAAAACGTGGGGGAAACGCGTAAATATTATAAAATATAAGGATATATTTATAAATATTTTTTAATATATGTACACAAGTTTTTCCATATGCACATGTTTTTTTAATATAATTTGTTTAGTAACCAAATAATAAAATCACTCTACATGTTTGAATTTAGATATTATTTCATATTAGTACATAATTAAACATAAAATGTACGGAGTAATACATTTCTAGCAATACATACATTGCGTTACCAAATGTAACAAGTGTTGCCACTGAGAAATACCACAAAAATTCACTATAAAAAATTATTTTTCACCACAGAATCTTTTGAAAAAGAAAAAAAAAATGGAATCCGAGGTTTCCGAAACATAGTGAAATGGGTTTCCAAAATTTTCTTAATTACGGAAACGGTCCCGAAACGGGAATTTGAAGTTTCCGAGTTTCCGAAACGCTTCCAAGTTTCCGAAATGTGAAAACGTGAGTCATGAAGAGTTTCCGTGCTTCCTAGACTGTAACATCTTCCTCCATGCAAGCACTCATATTTTTTCTCTTTCACAACCTCAAGAAACTGCCAATGGAAATAATGACATCCACATATGTATGTCTGACATAGTCTTCTTCTCTATCAGTAAATAGCAAGATTCAATATGCTCTTTAAATTAAACTGCCATGCT